GCTGATTTTTCGTGATATGTCACGCTCGCGACAGATAAATCAGGATAGGATACATTTCGATATAACAAAAGCTTACTCCACAAACGGTTGATTTGAAGAAAACTGTGGCTTCCGTCAACGTGCGGCAAAGCTAAAACTCTTGATGATCAAAGAACTAGCCAATTGGGGAAACACATCCGACAACGAAGACTGCCGTTCACTCGCGGACAAGTCGCGCGGCTTTGCACTCCGCTATCAAAGATTAAACGCTCGACTGATCATTCTCTATCCGAAATACATAGAGAAACTCGACGTCTCTGTGTGCGAGATAATTTCCGCTCCCCTGGAGCATTCTTTCGCTTGTGTGGCTTTACCTCGATCTCGACTGAGTTTAGCTACTATATCAAATGTTAAAACGCTTTTGTAATAAGCAAATTTATTTAAACGTGTGACCAATGCTGATTGTCTATTAATTTCTAGATTTCTTTTTCTAGCATTTTTTAAATATCTCTAAAGTTTTCACATATAAAGAAAAAAGTACGAAAATGAAATAGGGAGAGGACTTTGACAAAAAGAGAGCGATAGATACATCTTCAAATACCATGACTTATCTGTGTGTTTTACTTCGGAAAGAGATAAGTTTAAATATCTGAATTTGTTTAGCAGGCAAAAACGAAAATTGCGCGTTCCGTATCAATGTAAAACATCCTTTTAAGTAAAGATTAAAAGGTAACAATATTAATTCATTTGAACGATCTATCGTATCGCGACTTGTTTCGTAAGCTCTTTTTGGTATCGAAAAGTTGACGCGGACTATTTTATTAACAAGCCACAGACAAAGTAATTTGTTATCGGAGTTAGTGCATTGCTGAATTCTAGATAATCGAAACTGTCATACAATAGTAAATATCTCGAGGATGCTTTCAAAAGGAAATGTTTTTCTCAATTTGATGTTATGGTGTGCTATACAAATAGTTGTAAATTTACTATTCCTTGCGAGAGCGAAATTTAAATTGCACTGTTCTGCAATTTTCTTTTTTTTATGAGAGAGCCACTCTACATAATTTTTCTATACATACAAAATATACCAAAATTTATGCAATAAAATTCTAGTCAATGAAGAGTTTTATTACTTTAAAATAATCATATATATATATATATATATTTTTTTTTTTTTTTAATGCATTATTCAATGTTATTTTTGCATATATAAACTAAGTAAATATAAACGTATAACATACATGGTAATAAATCAATTAATTTCTTGAAAAATTTTGATTTGCATCATATTGTCATCTATTTGGAAAGCAAAATGTAATCCAAGACAATGAAGTTACAGAAGCCACAGAGACTATCTCTACACAAGTGTATTGAAAAATAACCTTCGCAGTATACGCGCGTCTGCTTTGTTTTACTCTTTTACCACTAACTACTAACATTCTCGCTAGTACATTAGTTCAAGTGAGAGGAACAATTGTCTGTTACAATTCACTTTTTATGTTATAATTCATGGTCTTATCCCTGATATTCAGGGACGATTGGCCAATCGTTCTGTAAATGGACGTAAAGCACACGGAATTTCATTTTCGCGCGGCTTAACATCATCGATCCCTCCCGCAAGTCTACTATGCTACACTATTTACAATTGATAAGCAACACATCTGATTGTTCTTGTAAATATTTTTAAAACGAGCATTTTTTCGCCTGCTTATTTCATTAAAATAGTATTTGCTTTTAAAATAGATGTGCAAATGATGAGGTATATGTGTGTAATTAATATGGAACGTATGCTTTTTATGGATTAAAATAGATGAATAGATAGAAATAGATAAAATGCATAAAAATAGATGCATCCAACAATAAAATCTGTCAGTCATAATAAAAAGTTTTAGATTAATAATTCAATTTCAAACGCGCGACGTACATTTACAAGAACATTCACATATTCTACGCCGATAAATACATACATTTTTATGAAATGTACGTAACAAGTGGCAGTGCATATGACGCAAAACAATTCATCACAATTATTTTGCTGTGAAACATCGGGAATTGATTACAAGATTTCGACATCTTATGATCGCCATCTTACACACTTGATATCAACTTAAAATTTGTATACGATTGCAATATATTCGTAGTAAGCGGATTATTATTTACCGTTAAGTATTGATTCCCTCCCATTCGATGAGGTATTGTGTCTGACCATTTGGTCCTATCCTCTTCGCTTTGATGACAAACTTTTCACCGGCAGCTATTCTATTAGCTGCACCGAAGTAAATATTCACCGATGATTTCAAATCATCCAGAGATATGTCAGGCGCACTTTGCTTCACAGGCGAACACTTTGGAGATGAAGGCATGCTGCTCTTTCTCTGCTGTTGAGAATCGGGAGGAGGTAATTTATCATTATTTTGACGCTGTCTCAATCTTCTACCATTTAAGGCATAATCCACACAATTCCCAATTTGACTACTCGCACTGCTCGAGGCACCATTATATGAACTTCTTAAATTCCTGGCAAATTCACTTTTAACTTCGTTATTACGAGCCGGTAAAATAGCCGCCGTCTTACTGGCGGTATGTTGAAATTGTTGTTGTAACTGCTGTTGGGACGGACGTCCTCGTCGATGTTGTCTTCTGCGCTTCACTTGACCGTTTCTGTCGACAATAATATCCTTCTCAGATAGCTGCCTCTTGGCTGGACGCATCACCGGCGGTTGCGAGATCACAGGTGTCAGCGGTAGAGGCAACGTGATGGGACACTGGTTGTAAGGTAACGGCGTACTCGAGTTTCCTTGATTAAGGCTACAGGGCGTGCCCACTAAATCACTGAACGGATTATTTTTTCCCTCAAAATCTTTTGGTGGTGGAATAAACGAATCGAGAGTCCCTCTTGAGCTGGTCTCATCCCCGCTCGTATCCGCGGGCGTCGAAGGTGGCAAAGGATGCATCAAATCCACAGAGCTAGGCACAGATAATTCGGACATGCCTGACGTTGCGGCTGGTGGTGTCGGCGGTCCAGAAACAGAAGTCGGAGGTGTTGGTGGTAAATCGGATGCTTCTGAACTTCGCGATTTACTCTGCGTTAAATAAAAAGAAAAAAGATGAATAATACTATTCATAGCTCTAGCATTATAAATAGGATGTAACGCTGTATTCCGCGTAGTAAAAAGCAACAGCCGGTCAATCTTTCGTTTTTCCAAAAATAGATAATGGAAAGATTAATCGTGCGCGACTCTTCTTACCATACGATTTATATACACGAATGCGAAATGATATAAGAGAGCAATCTTATTGTACCTTGGCAATGGCGTTTTTCAATAATTTTCTCGCTTTTCTGTATCTTGCTTCTCGAACTCCTTGCGATTTTCCCATAGTACCGTCTCCGCACACTTTCTCCCTTTTTTTATGTTTACGTAACATTCTTTCCCGTGAACTGCCTAACGCCATTAGACGACGTCTTCTCTGTAAACTTAACTTTGGAAATGGGAATGATTTTTTTACAAAACCGCCGCCGCTATACCTACAGGAATAAAGAGAATTCTCTGATATAAAATCCATTATATGAAATAACATTTTATACTTGTATAATGAAAAGGCACAAATAATAGAAATTCTTAAATTCCTATTATTGTGTAGAAAGCGATTTTATAAACGGCTATATGCATAAAAAATGAAATACCTTTCTCTTAACGACTGCGTCGATTGACTGGGTGGACTTGGACTTGGACACGAGCTTTGTTCCGCTTCCGAATTTTGATAAATTGTACCTCGCATTACTAGATCTGAGGGATTCACAGGAATTTCTACATTTTCGGCCACGCTTTGTCTCAATGCGATCAATTGTTTTGTACTTTCTGGTAAACTCACAGGGCTGAAATAATTAAATTTTGCATATTGCATAAACGCAACTAACATATATACTCTGTAAATTGCTACATTTGACGTCGCCATATATCTCTGAGATGCATAAAATTATACTAACCCTATTTGTGGAGGAAGATATTGCAGTCTTTTGTTAACACCCAACCAACATCTACGTAACACAGAATCGTCTATTTCGCCGGATGCTGGAAGATTGACGACTGGACAGGGTGGTGGCAGTCTGACACGGAGGCCCCATATTGTAGTGCGTTTCTTTATTTCTCTACCGCACTTGAATCTGGTTCTGTTATTTGTCAATATCGACAATATCGATTCCCTGCGTATTTCAATACTAACATCTCTAATCTGAAAATGTACAACAAACATTATATCAAATAAAACTAAAATGTCATATATATAAAAATATTTGGGTTTCATAGACTGTACTCCGATAAAAATACAAAACTCTTACCCGTGGTGGAAGTTGTAACGTATACCAGTTGTCATTCGCGTAAGGTATAATAACAGTGTCCAAGTCGTAATACTTTTTAGCGTTATAAACAGTCAGATTGTACAACATCAGGTGCACCAGATCTACCCACTTCATTTCCAAACGCCGAACAAATTCCTTCCCATGATTGCACATTGAACAAACAAATACATAAAACCTGCAATCATTAGTATGATTCAATCATGCAAAAATGCAGAACAATAATGTAATTAAAATAGAATGAATTTTATTAAATACATTGACATTTTCTTATTTGTACTCACCTATCACCACTGTACAAGGGGTGAGTTAAGCATCTGATGCACTTCTCATGAAACCATTGCTTACAACGAGCACATTGTAACATCTGCGCATACCATTCACCGTTAAGTCCACAATAACAATAAATTTGTTCGGCGTTTACTCTGTGATGTGCATCCCAGCTTAACATATCAGGCTGAAATTATAATAAAAATATCCGTTATCCTCCTTTTATAAACCATATTACATAATCAGAGAAACTCGTTGCCAAATTAATAACATATCATAGCATATTTTATATTTGATTCTTACATCATACGGCAATTTTGTCATGTCGTCAGGTGGTGGTTGAGGTTGGTCCCTACCGCTGCAAACTTTTCTGATATTTACTTTAACCATAGAAGTTTTTGGTTCGCAAGGTTCACGCATACGCGGCTGGCTATCCGTGCATCTCTTACACATCCAGTGAGTATCCGCACCTGGCTCTTGTTTTGGTATTTGAGGCTACAAACACACATGTTTTTCTCTTATTAAGCTACCGTTTCACATCTCCATCAGATTTTTTTTCAATCTTATCATTCCAATTTCAATCCAATCAATGTTTCTGTAATATCAACTATATAAGTAGATTCGCGCGCGTTTCATACCTGATGACACATTTGATGATAGCCACGGCCACACTTGTCACAAACGACAATGTCATTATCAGTCTTAGGCTGAGATTTTTTGCAAAGAACACACATAACATCCGAGTCTGGCATAGCCAACTTTGTCAGCTCTTTAAACGAGGACCAGGAAGATGTGTTGTCCATAAAATTGACAAGACATCTTTCCCTTGCCAAGTCCACCTATATAAAAAGAATATTGTTGTACCGTCGTGTCAATTTTACATTCCAATAAAAGAGAATCCATATAGATTTAACTGCGTACCTCGACAACTGTACCAAGGTAAAATTTGCCATCTTTATGTTGAAGAACATCATCTCCATGGGAGAAGCCAATCCGCTGTTCCCTTGTAGTGCTATCCGGCGCTGCCAGACTTTCCTCAGGTTCTGACATTTTCTACCCTGTTTCTAAACCATAAACAGTATACGATATAACAATGAAAATACTTTTATCTATGGTAAAAGGACACGTGAAAAAATTCCCAGGCATATATCTGTTAGAAATGAAATCAAACTCATCATATTTATAGATGATCAACAAACTAACAAAAAGACTGATAGGTTATTTTAAACACGCGCCCTATAAATAATTCTCTGCGAAACATATCTTGAATTGGCGCGTTTTCGATTAATAATTTTTCATAAAGAGCAACATGTGGAAAAATAGTTATTAAATTTATCTTGACAATTTATAAGATTGTAGATATATTCTCACGATCTTTGTGTGTATTTAACTATAATCTCATTTATTATTTGAAATTAGAATCGTACATAAATATCGCCGAATAATTTCACAACCCGCCATTCGAAAGCTATTTGGAAAGAGAGAGAGAGAGAGAGAGAGAGAGAGAGAGAGAGAGAGAGAGAGAGAGAGAGAGAGAGAGAGAGAGAGTGAGAGAGTGTTTGTCTTTGAGAGAGAGAGAGAGAGAGAGAGAGAGAGAGAGAGAGAGAGAGAGAGAGAGAGAGAGAGAGAGAGAGAGAGAGAGAGAGAGAGAGAGAGAGAGAGAGAGAGAGAGAGAGAGAGAGAGAGAGAGAGAGAGAGAGAGAGAGAGAGAGAGAGAGAGAGAGAGAGAGAGAGAGAGAGAGAGAGAGAGAGAGAGAGAGAGAGAGAGAGAGAGAGAGAGAGAGAGAGAGAGAGTGAGAGAGAGAGAAAGAGAGATTAACGGCGATATTGGAATTTGGAATTTTTTTCTCGAAACATTACCATCGATGCTCTGAGAAGCGTCTGATCTCAGGAAGAGACACACGCTTATCTATCCCTGCTTCGCGTTCTAGAAAAAGCGCCAGGTAAATCGCGATCTGTCGCCACCTGTCACGGCGGATAACGTTGCACGATTCGCGCGAGGGTTAGCCCGGAGGAACGCTCGCGACCATATGATCGGTGTATCGTTGAGATCAAATAAAATAAAATAAGAAATAAATAAATAAGAATCCGTCGCGTTCACTCTTGTCTCTCGCCGCCGAAGGAGAGCGCCGCGACGACGCTGTTCCGAGTCGATCACGTTCAACACGACAATGTTCACGAATACATCGCGGATCATCCATCGACATTTCGACGAGTCATATAAACAAATTTCGCCGGACACGCGCTCCTCTACGCGACGCGTGTGACACAACTCGACTCCGACGCCCGCGTAAGCGTTTGGCAACGATCAATCGACGAGGATAGCGTGGATGGAACGGAGAGGAAGATAAAGAAAGAGAAAGAGAGAGAGAGGGAGAGAGAGAGAGAGAATAAAAAGAAAGATGGAGCGAGAGAAAGAGAGACCAACAACCCCCGGGAGACAAACGACAAACGGTACCGGGGCGGCGCTCGCCCCGACAACGCAACGACCGACGACGGCGATGATTCCCCGGGACGCGCGCGCGCGCGCTCTCGTTCCTCCGGACGCCGCCACGCGTCGTAAATAAACTCTCATCCGTGCCGGCGTGGCCCCGGATCCGTCCGTACCTCAGACCTCAGCGTCTCGGCCGTGGAATCACGCGCTGCTATGTGCGGGCCTCATTCTCCGACTCCGATCAGCCATTTACAACAATCGTGAGGGGGGTCCCGCCACGGTCGGTTCGCTCACGCTCGCTCGCTCGCTCGCTCGCTCGGCGCACTCGCGGCTCGCAGCGACGGCGACGACGACGACGACGACGACGACGACGACGACGGCGGCGGCGACGGCGACGGCGGCGGCGGCAAAAGCCTAGACTCCGCGCGGTGGCCACCGTACGACGGCGGCGACACGTCGGCGACACGCGCGCTGCCGACGGCGCCGATCACGACGACGACGACGACGACGCGACGCCCCGGACACCCTCCGTAGGCCGGGCACCGGCACGATCACCAGATTCCCTCGATTGTTACATACGGCATCATCGTTCGGCGAGCGTTCATTGCGTCCCGTGGAAATTCGAACGAGCACCGTCCGCCATGCTCGAGGAAACACACTTGCCGTGAGTAACTACGCGGATCAGACGCGCCACCGTCCACCGTGAGATGAGACTCGAGACTCGAGACTGCCAAGCGCGTAGGGACGTATCGAGGGATCGCCAAGCCCTTATTCCGGACAACCCGTCTTCAAAATACTGCTCTTTCTTCGCTAAACTTTTGTCTTTCTCATTATGCTATTGACAGAAATATTCTGACATTTACAATTATTTTCTAAACATTGTATACTATTTTTACAATATATAAATATTTGATACAATACATATACATGTTTGACAGGATTTAAACATATCACAGAGAGAGAGAGAGAGAGAGAGAGAGAGAGAGAGAGAACTATATTTAAAATATTACAACTATTTTAGATGACGAAAAAAAAGAGAATAATTTCGTACAATTTAGGCACAATTTCATAGAGATTGATCGTTTTATAAAAATTATCTAATCATTTTTTTTAGATACTTGAAAACATGAGAGTTTTTTTTACTTGTGAGTGATATATGAATCAAGTAAAGATTTACGTTAAAACTCATTGTAACAAATCTACCGCGAAATGACAGTCGGTTTGGGACATGGCCTTCGACTCAAAGTGGCCGGAGATGGGCAACATTTGGGCATTTGGGCATCCTATTGCAGTGCAGACGTAACATAAACAATCGATATTTCTGTTCTTCGATCATCCGTAAGTAGGGTGACAAATACGAGCGATCGGAATTATTATTTAAGAAGCGACCGTCTCTCGTTAATCTCATTACTTTTATGAGGCGCGAACATGTCAAACACTAGAGTAGTAAATCTTCCATAACAATGCATTCTTATCCGTATCGTGGAATTGCAAAATTACTCGTCACGGTTTTTCTCCTTTATTTTTTTTTTCCCCGTCAATCGTTTGACAGTAGTTGGTCGATAAAAATTGATCGAAATGCCAATGGCTGAAACCTTGGACAAGTTTATACGTCCATCTTATAGTTATTTTCTCTATGATCGTTATACATTTTACCTATCTTCATAATGTCATTAAAATGTAATTAAACATTAAACTTTAGTCGCGTGATTTCTTTCGTTCGTAAAACCGGACGTTGCTTGTAAAGTATAACATTTTTCGAAAATTGCTGGTAACATTAAACATGTGTCTTTTTCTTTCGTTTATTTGTCAACAATCCTTTATCTTATTGCCAAACTTTTTTTTACTTGCAGATTTTGATATTGATTGAATATTAATATCGACACTCTAAAATCGGCCATAATTGCCCAATCTATGAAAGGAGAGGAAGGTATGAATTTCCATGGAATTTACAATGATATTATTTTACTCACGTGTTGGCGATATATGCAGCCTACAAAGTTGCAATGTATGTAAGTGAAATTTTGTGTTAATCGTTTATTTGACTTTCAATTTTCGACATTTTTCATTCCGTTTTTATGTTTTCAATCCAGTCGTGCAAAACAGAGGATATTATTTTTTTTATATTGTTATTAGCAAATAAAGACGTCTATTTTCAATAATAATCTAGAGAATACGTCAGATAAATAATTAGCTATATAATCATATCGCTATAAACAGACTTTCTGTTGTCGCGCTTAAATCTTGAAACTTTAAATTGTTGCCACTGTCAAAGAAAAGTTGAAGAATTATATTAACCGGCTCAATAGAATAAAAATAAACATATTATTTATTCTCGGAAATTCTTTAGACAAGTAATATGTATTATATATATATATATATATATATATATATATAAAATCGCATACAGTTACATTATAAATATACACAATGATATGAAAAGCGTTCAAAACGTGTGTCTGGATACCTAGATAAATATAGATTTGGTAACTTGTAATATATTGTATATCTTATCGATTTAAACGACGCGATTTAAATACGTGGAGTCCTCGATTTACGAAACTTTGTCGACAAGTTTTTATTAAATAAATATATTGCAAAAACGGATTGCTCTTGGTATTTATTGGTCATTTATTATGATACGCAGTTAACTTTATAAAATATATTAATTTTCTCGCTTATGTTGAATGGCCACTCCGCGAACAAAATTCTGCCGAAAAAACTTCATAAAACGAGGTTTTTTGAAAGTTTATTAACATACATAAGACTCATCGTGAATCTTCGATCGGGACAACGTTGCGAATAAAACAATTGTATATAATTACAAATAATTACAATATTTTGACAAAGAAAAGCAATTGCATATTTCATGTTATGTAGGATAAAAAAGATCAAACTTATTCGAGATAAATAGATATGAAAAGGCAATTTTTAAGTCGTAGAATTTTCTTGGAAAATGTTTCTTGTCTTGTGTAATAATTCGTAACTGCGGATTCTTACGATCATCTCTCAGCTCAGTCGAAGGTTAATTCGCGGTTGGCCATATAAGAAAGTTCAACGATCTCATTATTTCCACAATTGTGCGAACACAACACGGTGCATTATATAGAAAAATTATACAATTACTCTAACAAATAATATTATAATATTAATAATTTGTCATACTGTACGATTTAATGTGCATCAGAAGAAATACTATATCGTACGAAAAGATTTATTAAAATATTTTTTTTTTTTACCAAACTATCGTATTACTCGATACAAGTTTCCAATGCATAGACATATTTTTAAATTATTTAAAAGAACAGACGTTATACTTCTAATTCAATTTTGCTTATCAGTGTTGTGTTACTTCAATATCCCTGAATAAATTTTACTAATTTCAGGAATGGTGGAAATACGCATATTTTTTGATTAATTTCTATCTGTACTTATATCTCAATTTAATGTCACATTTTCACATTGTTACATGTGTCTATATCTCATTTTGAAAAATATATCAATATTAGAACTACATTTTATTTGTTTCGTACATTGTAAAGATCGCATTGTTACATTGTTACATGCAATGTTTTCATAGAATGAACACCTAAATATGCGATACAAATGCAAGCTCTTGGTTGTTACGCCATGTAATAATTATTTTATGTTTGCAAAATATAATTTTCATTATTAATCTAAGGTCATCCATCGTATTTCCATCTTATGAAAGAAAAGATTCTTTATTTAAGATCGAAGAAAATATCAACACATAACATATATATATATATATATACTTCAACTTTTCAAATTCCTTAGATAACGGCGCGTATCATTCCATGATTATTACCACTTTGGTAAATAAATATTTAGAAAAGATTAATACGTTAAAATCGAAAACGAAACATACTTTCTAGATATCGTATGTATTAAAATTTTCAAACATTTTGTGAATTTTTCGTGCAGATTCAAATATTATAATATACTAAACGTCAAACAGAGAATCAATAAAATAATACAAAAACTGTACCTGTTATTTTGGCATATGATCTTTTTCCAAATATCAATAATCGCGTGCTTTATTTTTATTAAAAATATATAAATTAATATATATATATATATATATATATATACTTTTTTTTTCTCTTGATTATGATTATTTATAAATCGTTATATAAATCATCTAGATATAGATATAGCATCACATGGTTCATCTCGCCAAAATTTTAATTTATAACATACGAAAAAGGAAATATTTCAAAACTGTAAAATCTTATATAAATCTTCTATAGATTTAAATATATCATGTCCATCTTTTAGATATCTTACATGGGCTGCTTGCTCTTAAATCGGCAATAATGTTGCATCTAAAATACACATCAAATATATGACATATAATAATTAAATCTTTTTTTCTTCATGACATTGTTGATCCAACTGTAATTCATTTTTATAGACAATGTATTAATCTCACCACAAACGCGTGTGCGATATATATTTTAAATATATAATGAAATTATTATATTTTCTACGTTTTAGCATGAAATCATCTTTCAATACATTTTTTTCTTAACCGCTGTGTAGCGTTCCATGTAAGTATCATAACCGTCCAGATTGGCGAACTGCTTCATTTCAAAGAGGTTTCCCTCGAGCGCCAATATTGATATTTTGGAGTCCTTGAGGATCCTGATGGGCACCGAGCTCAATTGTAGACAGTTCTCCTCCAATCGTAGCGTCTTCAGCCGCGGGCAATCTGCCAGCTTCTCGGAGATGGTGGCGATCTGGTTCTGATTAAGGTTGAGCTCGGTCACATGGAGGCTGGTGGCGGCGTCCGGCACAGTCGTGAGCCGATTCTTGGACAGATCGAGGACGTCCAAATGCCGGAGGCCGCAAAACACCAACGGAAAGTCGGAGATTTGATTGTCGGACAGATTGACCTGCTTCAGATGGTTCAGCTTTGCCAACGACGACGGGATCGACCTGATTTGATTCGCGGCGCAATTTAAGCCTTCCAGTTTCACGAGCGCGCCTAGCGTGTCGGGTAAACCGGTCAGCCGGTTGTAATTAATGGTCAGCTGTTTTAGCATTGTAAAGTCACCGATCTCGTTCGGCAACGTAGTGAACTTGTTTTCGGATAGATCCAAAGTGCGCAACAGCGGCGCCAAGGCACGGAGATTCTGCGGGAACTCGTCCAGCTTGTGCCGAGACAGCTTCAACGTGCCGGTCTTCTTCGCGGTCTCATAATGTTGCTTCACGCTAGAATTGCCCATGTCGTATCGGTATTTTCGCGGACGATGCGGACAGGCGGAGCTTTTCTTACAACAATTAGCTAGAGCAAGAATTAATCGTATGAATTTCAAGCCGCTTTTTCTCTCGAATGATTATTTATTTTAAAAAATCTCGCGTGATTGTGCTTCGAATATTCAGCACATTATTAAAGTCTTTTATTTTGTTTTTCGATTATAATTATTATTATAAATTATATGAAAATGAATTGTATTTATTTGATTGCTCTTTTCTCTTACAGAAAACGAGAAGAACATCGAAAGAATAAGGGTGATAGTGGACATAGGTAGTTTGAGATGTTCTGGCCGAAGCGCGCGAATTTCGACGGCGCGCGCGACCTTTTTTTTTTTTACCAAACTATCGTATTACTCGATACAAGTTTCCAATGCATAGACATATTTTTAAATTATTTAAAAGAACAGACGTTATACTTCTAATTCAATTTTGCTTATCAGTGTTGTGTTACTTCAATATCCCTGAATAAATTTTACTAATTTCAGGAATGGTGGAAATACGCATATTTTTTGATTAATTTCTATCTGTACTTATATCTCAATTTAATGTCACATTTTCACATTGTTACATGTGTCTATATCTCATTTTGAAAAATATATCAATATTAGAACTACATTTTATTTGTTTCGTACATTGTAAAGATCGCATTGTTACATTGTTACATGCAATGTTTTCATAGAATGAACACCTAAATATGCGATACAAATGCAAGCTCTTGGTTGTTACGCCATGTAATAATTATTTTATGTTTGCAAAATATAATTTTCATTATTAATCTAAGGTCATCCATCGTATTTCCATCTTATGAAAGAAAAGATTCTTTATTTAAGATCGAAGAAAATATCAACACATAACATATATATATATATATACTTCAACTTTTCAAATTCCTTAGATAACGGCGCGTATCATTCCATGATTATTACCACTTTGGTAAATAAATATTTAGAAAAGATTAATACGTTAAAATCGAAAACGAAACATACTTTCTAGATATCGTATGTATTAAAATTTTCAAACATTTTGTGAATTTTTCGTGCAGATTCAAATATTATAATATACTAAACGTCAAACAGAGAATCAATAAAATAATACAAAAACTGTACCTGTTATTTTGGCATATGATCTTTTTCCAAATATCAATAATCGCGTGCTTTATTTTTATTAAAAATATATAAATTAATATATATATTTTCGCGGACGATGCGGACAGGCGGAGCTTTTCTTACAACAATTAGCTAGAGCAAGAATTAATCGTATGAATTTCAAGCCGCTTTTTCTCTCGAATGATTATTTATTTTAAAAAATCTCGCGTGATTGTGCTTCGAATATTCAGCACATTATTAAAGTCTTTTATTTTGTTTTTCGATTATAATTATTATTATAAATTATATGAAAATGAATTGTATTTATTTGATTGCTCTTTTCTCTTACAGAAAACGAGAAGAACATCGAAAGAATAAGGGTGATAGTGGACATAGGTAGTTTGAGATGTTCTGGCCGAAGCGCGCGAATTTCGACGGCGCGCACGACCGGGGACTAACTCGCTGCGCGGACTGTACCCTCCCGGTGCTGTACCTGTACTCCTGCGCGAGACTGTACCGCGCGCGGTACGCGCCTGCGCGGTGGCGTAGTACGGCCGTGCTCACTCCGTCGTCGAGATTTTCGGAGCGCGACAACCAACCACCCGGGTCGTCGTCGTCGTCGTCGCCGGGCGACGTTCGTCGTTCGTCACCGTACAACACACACGGCGTCTCGTTACCTCGCGACGAACGCGAAACACGTTCAGGCACGCCGCGACGCTCGCCCACGTACGGACGGCGAACGCGGTTACGGATACGCGAACGGGAGTAAAATGTCACGCGATTGATAGCGAGTCCGCCATAGCGTCCTCGGCCTTCCGATTTCGGCCGCGCGATGGCGCGGCGCGCGCGCGCGCCCGAAAAATGGCCGACGTGTGGAGACGTAGCGGTGCCCGTCGAGTTTACATCAGACTGAAAACACCGCGGCGGCCACCAGTGCGTAGTTTACGATGCGGCGGTGCGTGGGAATGATGAGGTGGTGTGCGTGATCGTGGCAAGGGCAACGCGACGCAACCGGGTAACGATGGCTTCCACGCCGAAGACGGAGAAACACACAGGTAAGAGATAACCACCCGCTCTCGAAAGGTGAATGACGCGCGCGCGAGAGAAAGAGAGAGAAAGAGAGAGGGCGCGTATACGCGACGAACGCGTGCGACGATGTACCATTATTTCTCTCGGCGGTTTCTTTCTCAAAAACCAATGTGCGATCTATTACTCATCCGGCGCCGATCTTGTTTATCAACATTGTCGATATTTCGAATTGGCTGATGTTATCGATACGCGCGCCATCGATGGCAACATCAGTTCGGTGACGCTACTCGACTACCGGACGCTAAATGTCAAAAAAGCATATATGTATTGTCTGTCAAACGTGCACGTGATTTTTCTCTACATTTTCTTCGAAGCGGCATATTTCTACGGTTTTCTATTTAAAATATCTGCCGTATTCATGTAATAATAAATGTTGAGAAAGTGCTCGATTCATTTATTCTTTTGTACGAGAAATCTCTCGCAGAAACTCCGTTTCTTTACTTAGTGATTTTATGTTTCTTCACGATTATCGAATATTTTGTTAAGTCTCAGCCGTAAGCGTTATTGATTTAATCGATTCGTTAAATTAAATACAACAGCAATCATAAACAATAACCGATATTTTCTCTAAAGTAAGCGAATAGTAAGAATTCTGTTGTTGTTGTCTTTTTTTTTTTGTTTTTTTTATGGGGCGCTGTTTTCACAAGCATACCACTGACTTTAATCACGAAACTGTAAATATGCGAAAAAGCGGTGGAAGAAAATCTAAATAAAAATTTAATTAAGGTGATACATTATTCTCACTACATCCGAGAAATTTGCAGCGTTCCTTTCATTTTTAATTTACTTTATGCTGTATTATACATTTTTATTTTTGAAGCGTCATACAATTATTTATTAACGCATGATTTTTCATGCAATTTTTGGTAAATAATATATTCTGTTAATAATCGTGTATTTAACGCGAAATATAACTCAAGCGGGATTGCCCGAAACAGTCCAGTGAATGGAAAAAATCATTCGATTTTCGGCCTTGAAATCGTTGCCTTTCTTTCTCCGTAGCGTATTTTCAGTGCAAAAATTCATCGACGATAAGAACACGAGCTAGGGTGGGAGTGTATCAATAAACCGTGCACGCGTCTGGACGACAAGCTCCGAATCTGATTCGAACAGCTGGCCGTGTCGCGAGTTTTCCGTCCCTTTCGAACAAAAGCCTACCCTATCCTGTTTCCAATCCAGTCGAGAAGGACTGTACTTTTGTCGGGTCTACTTTTCTTTAGCCCTCCTTCTCGAATGCGTGCACTTCGTGTCGTACGGTTTTTTTCAGTTCATTATTGTGTTCGTTCTTTAGTTTGCACGTGGCGTTTCGTTGACTTGACGTACCTTTGGTAACGGTTTTCCAAAAATGAGACTTCTCGCTAACGAAGATGAGGCTCAAACTTTTGGAACTGAAAAGAATTTTCAGTAACTTCAAATATTTGAATATCATTCGAGAAGGTAGGGTAGAATTAATTATAGTGTGTATGTGTGTGTATCAATTTATAGTTAAATGTAATTTTCAATCCATTGAGCACTGAATAACTTTTCAAGCAAGGCGAAAATGCAATTTAGCGCATTTTGTAACAACTAGATATTTCATATTACAAGTATTAATCACGATTAATATTTCGAATATTTGCGATGTGCTGAGATAAAAAAATAAAATTTTTTTCTAGTTATATGTTGTATTTTACAAACGCAACATATGTGCCATCGCGTAAAAATTGCGCGTTCTACTCTTAGTTTAGATTTATCGTCGATGTATTGGGTTCGCGAAATATTTCATTTTTATGTCTTTTTAAAACTTGTCGATATATCATTCGTATTTAATACTGAAAAGATTAAAATTATTGGAAAGCATCTACATTATTAACATCCATAGTGCAAATGTACGTGTAGAAACGCATCTCTACTAAAACTAGGATAAACGTCTTAGATCTCGTATTTAAAGTCGAACGATTTGGTTTTGATAATTTATCGTAGGGTGTGACAGGTGTAGCTTATCAGAGTTGATACGTCGATCTCGAAAAGATATGTGACGGATAGAGATACTTAAGTAAAGGCAGTTTGATCAATTCGCGCCCGATAAAATTGGCAACGACTAACCGACTTTATCCCACGTCATCTGCTCCGCGTAATTGCGTTTAATTCAAGTTGATCTGCTGCAATCGTAACGCGTTTGTTGATTCGATGGGAAGGAACGCAGGCAGGCGATGCCTTTTAAAGATAATTTTGTTCAATATACGTACCTATAAGCGAATTAGTTTAATCACTCTTGACGAATTGTGGAAGCATTATTTCGATTTTTTTTTTTTTTTTTTTTTTTAGGAAAAGAGGAATTGACGTATATATAATCAACCTGAAATATTAAATATTTTCCACATTAAACTTTACATTATATTTGTTCGTTCAGTATGAATATTCAATATCAAATATTTCACAAAAAGAGATTTTAGTCGAAAATTTATAATTTGTCATTTTTGTAAAATTATTCCTGAAACTGGATATTTAAAATAACTGTACGCCATGATGTACATAATCTAGGTAATGGCATCACTGTTGCGTGTAAACTGTATCAGTAAAACGGGCAATGAACTTTTCGATTATTATACAGCATTTAACAACTTGTTGCTATACTTTGAAAAATATTATCGTACAAGATGTACAATTTATCTCCGATTATTAACACTCGAAATTTTTTTAATAGACATTAAAATATGTATAGAATAAATCTTATATTATATTGAGAAATACTTTTCGATGAAAAAGATCATTTATTTCCATCGTTTGCTTACAATTTTAAGACGAGGAATATTATATCGTGATTTTGATGGCGCGGGAACTGGATCAATAATAATATAAATCCATTGCGATATAGTCTCTTCCAAAAGGCGAACTCGTTAAATTTCCAGGTAGGAAAGGGTCGCATTGAAATTATTCTATAGTGGCGAGTGTATCGTGTGTCGTGCGAAACGACAGGACGAAACCTGCGACGCCATTGAATGCGTCCGGTAATACTCGCCCCGGAGGTTCTCGAGTAATCTTACGAGAGAGAAAGAGAGAAAGAGACGTGGAGTAATGAGAAAATGGGAGATGAAAGCGCGAGATCGGGATCTCGTCGAATCCGCTTCATCTTGTAGAATCCTTCTACTTTCTGTTTTGT